TAGAATTAAGCATAATTAAAGAAAAAACAAAAAAAAACAGAAAATCCTCAATTTTTTTTGGTTTTTAATGGTCCCAACACGATACAAAAATAGAGGGAAAATTTTAAAATTCAAAAAATGCGAAACTGAGTGTCATAGATTAGCCTCCCGCTTGGGAACCAGCCCCTGAAGGCTCGTCAGTTTGCGTGTTCGAGCGTCTTTATAGATTCTCGCGCCGTACATGGTACGGTGTACGTTGCCAGAACTTTTTTCCAGTTCTTTTTTTTCTTAATATTAAAAAATATTTACAGATACTAAAAATATTCAAATTGTTATAAGAGTAGCAGGGTTCCTTTTTTTTAACTTATTTTTCATTTCATTCCATGTCAATCAGTATAAACTGGATCTACTGTCTTGCTATTGTTTTCAAGGATTGTGCACAGTTAGATATTTACTCTTCAGTAATTATAATATCGAGAATAACTGAAATATATATACATGACTAATCATGAGTGATTTTATGAAAATATAACAAAATATATACATAATCTAAACAAGACACAGAAATATAAAAGCAAAGCTTAAAGCTCGTACTAGCAGATGGAAATCTTACTTCATATTTCGGTTCCTCAAGAATTCGAAGAGCTTCTCAGAGCAGGCGATCCCATCGATTGCAGCACGCGGTCGACCCAAAGCAATGGTCCATTCAATTGAATGTCAATCCAACAAGGAGTGCTGAAACATGTACAGTCTTGTGAAGGCATATCATGTGGTAATCAAACCAGTTGATCGTTGGATGCTTATAATCTTCTCCCCATCCTTTCACAAAAGACACTCTTACGGTACATACCCGACTGAGAGCGTAAACGGCATCGAAACCTTTATTTATGGTCTCAATCAACTGAGCAGCAAACTCCAAGTTGCTGAACAATTTTAGGCTGCATTTAGGTGGTACCTAAACAGTAGAGGGTCTGTTTAGACGACGTATGCTCTTTTTTCATACTTTGCAGACTGTTCCAGTATGCCAACCGTGCCTTTGATTACAGTTGGGTGACTGAACGAATATGGGATAGCTTGATATACATTCGATGAAAATCTAAAATCTTTATTTTAAAGGTTCGAAACTTACAGGCTGACCTCTCCAGACATGTGGTATATCCGTGCTCCATTTCCAATATAGTTGCGGGTATTTGACACAGATGAATCACGGTTTATATTTTCAAGAGCTCCAAGACAAAATCTGAATATTAAACAATGAGGAAACTATGGATATATTGTTCACCTATCAGGACAATTGGGATGTGTATAACCGTCAATGAGAATATATTTTGATTTTGAATGAAAAGGATCTCCTACTTGCTTCCTTCTTTCGTAATACACTAAGGTGATCCAGTGGTCTGGCTCCGTGTATTCGATTATCTCTTTGATGACTGCAATACTATAGTAATAAGAGCTTTTTGTAGAAAACTTACATGTTCTTCCAGGCTCGCTCATTATGCTCAGCGTTTGAGTTTTGCTAGGTTGGTTCCAAAATCAAAACATTTAAGAAGAAAAACAAATGAAATAATTACGCTTCTGTACTTCTGTTCCAATACTTTTTCGAAAAGATATCGCTCTCTGGCTTCGGCGTTCTCATCAAACTCAGAGAAGTTTTGCGTAATAGGTAACGAATATGTATAATCCTGATTTGAAGAGGAATACGGTTGCTGGGAAACATTAGATGGCTGGTAATAAGTGTGTGGTCCATTTGGCATGAAGTTTTGTGACACATTGAACGAATTATAAATATAATTTGGATCATAATGAGTGCTATTCATATTATTATAGGTTGAAGTATGGGCTTGTGGATCATTAAACTTGGGGAAAGTTTGGGTTGAATATCTAGCGAAGTCTACAGACGTTTCAGGGGGTTGGCCAACAGCATCTTGCTGACTTACATTATTTGGCATAAACTGATAATTCTGATTTGTGAAAGCAGTTCTCTCGTTGTTAAATGTATTCTGATATGGAAAATTATTATTCTGCGAAGGATTATTATGCGGGTCATAATGAACTAAGTTCTGTTGATTACAAAAAGTGGAACTTTGCTCATTCGTGTATTGATGATTTAAGTTTTGACCGTATTGTAATGAGTTCTCACAAAAGCCTGCATTTTCATTAGACTGAAATCATGAGTTTAGACAGACAAATTTGAGTACCAAACCATATTAGAAAGGAAGTTATCCCGGTACTCATCAACTTGTATGCTGACATTCGGTGTAACCTGAAAGGATGCAAGATTATCTTCATCAAAAAGAGAAAACTAACAAAGTCATCTTGATTTGAATAATAACTTGTTCTATCGTTGTTGTAAACCTTACTCCTATCAATGACAACCGGAGGGAGAGCTGAAATTCATGAAAAAGTTTGAACTAACAACAATCACTTACTAATTTCTGCTGTTTCATTCGTGTCATAATGCATGACATTTAAGCAAATGATATCTCCGTCAGCATGATGAGAACAAGTTCTCGCGTTTTTCAGTTCATACATACTTCTTTAAAAGAAATGCTCGAAGACTACCAAAAAAAAACATTGCACTCACCTCACCCACGAGAATCGAAACATTCTGATGTACTGTAGAAGAACCTTCTCAGAGAACTTGTCGCCTTTCTTATCTCTGCAACAAAGTATTGAAAAAAATGGTGAAAAACTTATTTACTTTGTGACTGGGAGGCACTGCGATTCAGCATCTTGGTTCACTAGAGCTTCGAGGAAAATATCGAGAAATTTCTTTTTTTTCAATATCTTCGAAAGATATTTAATCTTATCGACTGCCCATTTTGAATCATTCTGAATGAATGGTTTATAAAATGCAAAAGGTAGCTCTTACATTCCCCTCATGAGCGATGACTTGATCTGGTATTAGTGCAACCAATTTATTAACAGTTTTCATTATGTTTATGTTGAAGAGAGATTTCATGACTCTGAAAATATGAAAATTGAAAAAAAAACTGCGAAAACACAGAATCAAAACATTCAACATGCATGATTTCGTTACAACACATGGTTATTGAAACATCACAGAGATAGAAAAAGTTAAATCTAACCTAATTCATCGTTCACAGTTTAGATAATATTCAAGATATAATGATGAGGAAAACTTACTCCAGGGAACATCATTCAAGAATAGTTTTATCATGCTTCATGACATGCGCTCTCAATCCAATCAATTTTTTGTGGTTAAAAATCTCTTCGTTGCTTATCAGCGAATGGCAAAACTTGTCACCTCCTTTAATCAAAGTTCTTTCTTTTCGTTTCAAGACCAATCAGAATAATTGCTACACCCTTCATGAAGTTTTCTGATGAGATGTTATGGTAAAAAAAGTAGCTACCAGTCACCAAGAAAACCGTTTTTCCTTACAAATGAAAAGATTTTCAATGATCTTTTTATCCATGGAAGATACTAGCTTCACATACAAAACAAATAAAATATTAATTTTATTATCAAAGCAGAGATAACTGCTCACGACCATTTCCAGTTCAAAAACCCATTCAATTAAAGGGCGGAACACTGCGGGTTCTGAGCGGATGGTGCGACGCTGTCAAAAGTGATGAGTGCATGGAGAAAGGTGGCAATTTGAAAAGTTTTGGTGTCATGGACGTTATTTTGTTTATGTTGATTTCAAAGAAAATCACTCGATTTTATGTTAGTTGGTTAAATGTTCATATTTCAGTCCAAATGAATTTCAACCCGGAGTATGAGAGCGTTGCCAATGCTTTTGTCGGGCACTACTATAGCAAATTCGATCAAAGTGATGCCATGGCAAGAGCACAAGGGCTTGGCGATTTATATGATCCTGAGCATTCTTATATGACTTTCGAAGGTGTTCAATGCAAAGGGCGAGATGGAATTCTTCAAAAATTTTCGGTACATTTTCCTTGATTTACTAAAAGAAGTGTTGTTTCAAGGGACTAACTTTCAAAAAAATTCAAAGAGCGATTACCAAGTGCGATTCGCAACCTTTATACGATGGATCCATTCTCGTTATGGTACTCGGGCAATTGAAGGTATTTCAGCTAAAATTTCAATTAAAAGCTTTTTTTTCAGACTGATGATGATCCTATTAATCCATTCTCACAAGTTTTTATCCTTCGTCCGAATAATAGCGGCTCTTACTTCATTGCTAATGAATTATTCCGCCTCGATCTTCATAACAACTAGACGGTTAATCTTTTCTTATCTTTGGGAGAATTCTTCACCCTTTCCGCTCATTTTTATTTCGCTATTCATTGCCTGATGCATATTTTCCTTGCGTTCCCAACGAAGTATCGTTTCCGGTTATCAGATTCTGTAAAAGTGTTAGGCCTTGATTTGTTTCTAATGTCGTTCTAATGAATTAGCAATGAATATGTTGTATCTTAAATCTTTACTCAATCGGTCAAAGCTATATGAATACTTATCATCATAACATTTCTGATGAATTTAAATGTATAATTGATAGATGGTGAAGCAAGCCACAAAAGGACAAAAAGAGATTTACCAAGAAAACCAGAGTACTATCTTCTATTATAGTGCTGCTTCTTCGGTAGCCAGTGTTAGTTCTACCATTTGAATGCTCTACTCAACTTGATAATCTTAGCTATTATATGGCGTTGTTGCTGGAGTTTTGAGTTCAAACACCACGAATGGATGGGTTTGGTTCGGAGTATGTGTGGTCATTCAGCTGCTTTCAGTTTTTTTCATGAAAAGCATGGCTAGTAAGCTCTATCGGTTTAAGTTATTGTAATTTATGCCAAATTGATTAGAATCACAAATGGACTCTAAGGGTCACGTCGTGGACGCTGGCATGGATTTGAATGACCCCACCGCGTTTGGTGAATATTGCAAAGATGCTGTTATTTTGACAGTATTGGTCCAGGTACCAATAATATGTTTAATTGCAATGGTTTCGTTTTTTCAAGATTCTTGGTGTTTTCTCGAACTACTCTTTCCTACTTTTACTTGGCTTCCCAGCTGCTGTCGGATACAAAGTAATTTTTAATGTTTAGTTTCATATTTCATGAGAAATTTTTTAGCTTTTCTTTTCTTTCATTCTTCCATGGTGCACATCATCGACCGAAGAAACAGAAGAAGTAGACGAGAAGAAGATGAAAAAGAAGGATAGAAGAGAGAAAATCGTTTATAGACATTAATTTTCTGAAGCTTAAATGAAATTGTTTTCTTATTTATTAGTGTTATACTTGGTTATAAATATGGTGTCGTACTCTCGCTCGAACATTCTATGGTTTTAAATACGTTCAATACATTGCCTCGTTCCAAAACTCGTATAATATAGTTGTAGAATGGATAAGCCAATCTCTAAAGATTGGAAGAACACAGGAATACAACCGGAGTTGGGCAGTCCTTGCTCAACCGGTGAACAAAGTTTGTTACTTTTACTTAAACAAAAACTGTTGAACATTTAAGAAAGTGAAGAGTTGGTCTCAACATGTAGAGATCTTCTCTTGAGAGATCTGCGCCCCGGAGAAAAATCAGAGTCTTTCGTTCGGTTGGTACTTGAGGTAATTTGTTTTAATGATTTTAGGGAATTTATTTTTGAATAGAAACTCTTCTATGACACAAACGTAGACTTATGCTCCATCGTTCAAACACATCCTGCAGCTGGCGAAGTTTATGCTCTCATAAGAGATCTAATTCATAGCAAATCGGCGTTTTTTGAGGTTGTTCACTCTATTTCATCTACTATAACAGTCCTTCAGACGATATATGATGGCTCTGAAGTTTTTGCTAACGAACTGTGGAAAGCCATCTTTTATCAGTTGGAGAAGTCGCATACGGTGAGAAGATAGAAAAACATTTTGCATAATATCGTTTAAGAGTTTCAATGTTTCTGCTGAAAGTGTTCTTATGACTTGTATTTCGGATTATGTAGTGCGTCTACTACCTTTTGACCAAGTTCCAACCGAGAGGGGAGTGCCGAAACTACATAGGGCTAAAACTCCACTAGATCTCTTCCTCCCTACTTCACCGGTTTTGAATAGTATAAAATTAGGTAATGAGTTACTCGTGTTTCATAACAATAACTGCGAACTTAACCAGATTTACCTTCTCGAGAGTTATCTTCCCCCTCTCTACACCCAAGGCATTTGACGATTTTCTGTAATTTGGTTAATATAATGTGTAACCGTCAGCAATATCCGTCAGCTAATCGTTTAGTTGTCATAAGGTTGTTTTTTCTTTTTTTCTTCTGTTCAATTTTGTTCAGGTATCTCCTCAAACAGTTCCACTCTTTCTGTCTTTTCGAAACAACGGACTCGGAGCTTATGGCTATCAAGGTTTGAATAGTAGAATTCACGTCTAAACGTTTCTACAAAATAGAAAACAATCCATTCAAAGCCCCCTTTCTCGTCAGAATTGTATCAGTTTCTGTATACCTTTTTTGAGCAGTGTCCCTCTTTGCCATCACTTCTCGAATTGATCAGTAAGATTTTTGTTCTTCTTTCCTCATAAATCATATTACCTAGGTGTGTGGAACACATATTGCCGACCCTGGAGATACGTCGCAAACACTAATATACCCTACGAGCAAACCATAAGTTTATGGATATATTTCATCAGAAATGAAGATATCTTTTATCGCATACTTCTGGGGAAAATACTGCGGAAGTAATGAAATAATCTGGTTGAGGCAACTAACTTTTTGGTTGTAGGCTTTCGGAGGCGGAAATAACCCTGGAGTCAGTTAAGACCATACGAACACTAGTCGAGTGGTCATGGAAAGATCCGATGAAACGCATATTAAGGTATAGATTCTCTTGTTTCGCAAAGCCATGTCTTCGATAGGGAAGTCAATGTCGATGCTCGTCAAGCGACACGAAAGGTATTGGACAACGTGTTTGCAGTTTACAAAATGAAACAGGCAGAAATCAGTTCTTCGGACCTAGAAGTAATCGTCCAGTGCTATTATGAATTAATAAATTGATTTTCAGAAGAAATCTTTTTGGGATGTTCTTTCAGCTGCTCCTGAAAGTCCACGGGTGGTATCTGCTCGACAAATTGTGGAATATGTGAAGCCTTTGCTCGAAGAAGGAGATAAGTTTATGTATACCAGTTATGTAACTTCACCTAATGTTCCACCAACTGTCGAAATAAGCAGGTAAGCATCCAGTCTAATTCCGAAATAAGTATTGTTTTCTATAGAACCCAAGTTTCTCCATCAACAGTCGTAAACGACGTGCTCTGTGAGACCCCAAAAAGAGGAAAACTTCCGGATCATAGTAAAGATCCTTCTACCGGTTTCATGTTCTTAACTCCCTTAGGGAGAGAACAAGTGTTCAGTGGAGAAAGGTATATGTTAGATTGATAAAGTGTTATACTCAAGTATGAATTAAGAAAGTTCAAGTTCGATGAATGTAAAAATATTTTGCCTGGCTGGATAAAATCGGTTCAAGCACACGAGTTCCCTCCGTTGGTCTATCTCACTCAATGGTTGACTAGCTGCTTCAATGATTCTCATTTTGGAAAGTATCTCTCGGAAAAATATTCAACTTCTACAGGTGAAGAAATGTTGTTCTTCTGCTTAACAACGTTCATTTGCAGTTGTTGGCCAGTTTGCGCGAATTGTGATGGATCCACCATATCCAAACCCATACAGTCCCATACAGTCCCCAGTATTTTGTCGTACGTTAAAAAGAAATCCACCTTCTCTACGACTGCGGGTAAATATCATATTAAAAGTTACAATTTATCCAGTGTTTATAGGTCTTCGCAAATTATGGAGTTCTTCTAGGCATTTCGATTTTAACACTTTTCTATGTATATGGTTGGTATGCTCTGATTCCATTGCTCGTAATCCTCGTTGTCGGATCAATTGCATGGGTTGCCACTCAAGAAATCTAATAGTGCTTGTATATCATTCATGATATCTTAATAATATTGAATGCATTGTTTTCAGTTGAATTTCATTATGAAAAGTACTTTGCAGACAATGTAACCTAAATGTTAAAGAACTCGGAATAAAGTAATAAGAGTCTTGTATGAAAAAATCTTGAATCAGGTTGCCCTGCCTAATCGTATCTTGTTTCCTGTAATTTTTTTTCATATCTTATGAACGCTTAGATGGTGAAAGACCTGGAGATTGATGCAGAACGAAAAGCATACGAAAGTGATGATATTTGGTTGACTCGCAAAGCGTTTCTTTCAACACACTGGGATTCATTCCCGAAGTTCAGATCGTTTGTCCTTCAATACTAAGATCTTACTTCCAGGCTTGAGCTTGATTGTTTATCTCAACTATTTATTAATATTAATATGCTTGGATGTGAATATAGCCCCACATTGATGGATAGAATTCGATCTCTAGGTTCAGGAATAACAGAAATGGTATGTTTGTTTGTAAAACTGATTCATGCTGTATTTATCAGGCGCAACGTCTGCAAGACGAAGATAAATATGTCAAAGCCTCACAAGGAAGACAGAAGGCTGATGAAGTCAGGCAAAAACAACAAGAGGAGCGTACTAATGCTAGGTTGTCTCCTAAATGATCTATGTTTGAGTAAAATATGTTCAGAACAGAAAGAAGAGGCCCTTCAATAGATGATAAGTTAAGAGAATTGAAAATTCATATCAAACAAGTAAGAACATGTTTTTATTAACAGATACCTTTTTTTCCTAGGCGATAGCTGAAACTCCACTCAATTTATTGAACATGGCTGGCCGTGTTCAAATGCCATGGAGCTTAGACTGTGTGAAAGGAGATACGGAACTTCGTTTAAAGCACTTCATTGCTTTCAGACATAAGTAAGATAACATTAGTAGATTCACAACTTCTTTTCATAGATTCCATCATACTTCCAACGGCGATGCTATTGCTATTTCTTGTGTAGTGGATGGTTTCCTCAATTGTGAGCCTAGTTTAGCGGTTAGTCGTCGGTTAAGTTATCAATGATTTTTTTCGTTACAGGGTGATAATATCACATTCGATAACTTCGCTCCTTCGGATTGTTATAAACAAACCTTATTGCGAAAGTTACAAAAAGCTCGCCATCATGTACCTGTTGCACGAAACTATAAAAGTGGAACATTTCCTCATAAGATTTTTATAATTTTTTTCAGGTCTCCAAGAAACTCTAGCGAAAGTCAACCTTGAATTAACTCAAAATTCAGAGCATTTGCAGGTAAACTGGTAAATAACCACTCCGTGAAAATTTTGCTTTAGGGATGGTCTCAACGCGTGGACTTACGGGTAGATGATCTTCTACTGATTAGTCGAACTTTAACGAAAAATGAATGCGTGAAAAGTAAATTAACTGAAGCGGTTGATGAGATGTGTAAAAATGTTTGTGACTACCTTCAACGCGGTAACATAGAAATCGAAGATACTGGATCAGGTCTCCGATTGCTTATTTGAGACTTTCTTGCTTTTCTGTTCATCAATGAATAAACAGTAGTGAAGAGATCCGAAATGGTGTTGAATTCGATTAACATTTTATTCTCAGAATTTTCATGGAAATGTCAAAACCAATAAACGTATTCGATGATGGAGATTCCATCACATATTTTCGATAAAAAAATGACTAGAAGTTCAAGAGAACAAACAGTGTTTATGAAAAAAACTGAGAGAACATAGAAACTGAACCTTGGCAGCAATATGAAGTCTAAGAACCCGTTGAATTACCAGAATTAAAGATAAGGTGCAACTTCTCAAAATACATACAGACATCTCAAGTCTCTTGATCCAGTGAACCTTTCTCGGAAAGCGATACTCGCCGTGATGAAACAGGGTTCGCACACTCATCAATGATTGAACACTAAAATATTCGATCATTTGAATGCCAATACATATATGCCGTACATTAAGCTGCATGCAACAAAAATAAATAATGAACACGTGATTGAGTCACATGCTCTAACCAGAATTGAAAAGCGCGAAACTGTTTTCAATGAAGTAGCTGAGAAAACTAAGTATCGAAGAAAAAAAAAATCTATACCTTGAGATCATCACTGCTTTGATGGCTAATGACTCGGCGATCTTCTATATCTTCATTGTCGGAAAGAACATCCGTGAGCTCACAATCAGCTAAACCTTCTTCATCGCGTTTAGATTTCACCTGAACAAAATGATTTCCGTACATTGAGCATTCAAACCTCATTCATTTCTTTTCTTCGTTCCTGTACCACATATCTGGCAGGTGAAGGCACACGCATAGATTTTTCATTATCTGATCGAGCACCATCAGAATCGGGAGAGCCCTCAACATATGCCGATTAGTTAAGCATTCATAAGTTTTCGAACCGGTCGATCACTGCTGTGAGATTTCAATCCCAGAAGACGTCGATCTCGAGGATCAAACGCGATAGCATCGGTAATTGAAGTGTATTCTTCATGACGTTGTCGCCTCTTAGCACTGAAAGGTTTTCGATTGGATGAATCATAGTAATATCAACTCACATTGCTTTAGCATTTGATTGTTCTAACGACAATTGTGAACTAAACCGCAAATGTGTAGCAGTAGGATCCGGCGAGAGTAGAGCGTCATCCGTAGACTGTGCTCCCACTAAAATCAAGTTTTTTAAATATTTCGTTCAAAAGAGTTTCGAAAAACCACAGAAAGTATTTGTTCGGGGTCTTCTCTGTGCAATAGGAAGCGGTGCAATCCTTTCAACAGAATAAGCCAAATTAGGGGAATGTTCCGTGACCTGTAGTGAAATAAAATAGTTGTACGTGTAATTCCTGAATCAATTACAATTTCGAGAGGTCGGCTTTCCGGAGCAGGGCTGTAAGGTGCTCTTAAGCCCATTGATTGCTGCGATAAGAGACTTCTGATCAAATCCAGCATTTCTTCCTGTAAGAAGAAAATAATGCAGTCATCTTCTTAGAGCTCACTTGATTTTTTTCAATAGTCATCAACCTGTTATCCATTTCGCCCATAGCTTCTCGGAGAACAATCTCTTTAGTAGTTAAATCATTCATACGGATCAGAATTAAATCAGTTCTGCAAGTAGGAGTTTCCAATTTTGTTTCCAGATCATTAGAACCTTTCAGCTGTACGATTAATTCGCTCTTCACTGCTTGTGTTCTTCTTATTTTCCTTTTCTCTAGCTAAATCATCCATACAATCCTCTTCAAAGTCATGAAGTTTCTCCACTTGGTCTTTATCCAAAAACAGTTCTGGAAAACAAACCTTGTTTTTAAGTGAGATTAGATGCTTACTTAAAGAAAAGTCGAATACATTTCGATTTTTATCAGAGGGATTTTCATAATTATTGCGATTACATCGCCACTGGATATACTTACAGAACATGCGAACATGACTGATGGGTGTCAAGGGAGGAGGAAAAATAGGGGTACTCTCGTACTCCATAACCTGTACAGTCATATACAAGTTATACAAGCTCTAAAATAGAAATAACCTGACGATATCTTTGAAACAACCAGATTTGCTGGGCAACCTCATCAGTTTGGTCGAAAATGTGGCTGAATATCATAGATAGTTTTTGTAAAGTGTAAATTGTTACTTGAAAATAGCAATAAGCATACTCATGAGTAGTATATTCGCTATCAAGAGGAAGAACGTCATAAGAATCGGAGGTATCCAGTGACCAGTGACACAGCTGATGCCATTTTCACTTGTCATGTTAATAGGGTTTCTATTCTCTAGATGGGCATCCCAAGCTGGAATAATACACTTCGGTTTGGAAGTATTTAATAAAGCGTACCATCGTCACCACAAGTATCAATCTCATCCGCATAGACTTCTCCATAAAGCATGAAATACGGTTTGTAAAAAATGTTTCGAACCTAAAACACAGAAAATTCATGATAGCTCGAATTATCAGAATTACCAGTAGCCAGTGCCATTCCTCATTAGGGTAAGTAATTGATTGTCTTGCCAATCCGAATGCTAATAAAGACACGACCAAAATGACGATAATGTATGACATATTCAACACCTAAAAACAAAAGATAATTATCCTAACTCAATGAAAGAAAAAAAACCATTTTTCCGGCCATAGTAATGTAGGGACCAAGTTTAGGATGAACGCTCATGTAGTCCAGAAGCTTCATCGTCCATAATACTGAATTACATGCAAGAACTACACGCCCATAAGCAATCACACTGGATGGAAAAGTATTTAGGAAACTAAGAAAGACTGTTTAATACCCGAAAGTCCGCATAGCAAATCCTATTATGAAAGAAATTACAGCTGCCATTGTTATGGTATTCCAATAGTTGAAAAAAAAATACTTCAGTTTCTGGTCAAAAGCATGCATATCAGACATTATAAACTGAAACTTTCACTATCTCGACATTATCCACAACGTTCCTTACTTTTCTAGTATGTTCTAAACCGAAAGCTATAACATAGGCAAAGAGTCCCCATTCCAGATACGTTGGATTAGTAGGAGTTCTAGAAAAAACTTTGTCATACTGAAAAAAATATGGATACCCACTTGATCAGTAGAACATATGTGAAACAAGCCAAGAACAAACAAAATGAAAGCGTCCAAGCCCAGAACGTTGTGATAGGTGCAGCATAGAACTCGTAAAGTCTTCGACGTATTTTTATGGGTCGCTAAAGAAATATTGTTTTACTCAATTGTCTGAGCATGGACTCACCATTCGAGGAAGATTCGCGCCAACAGCAAGTAAAATAGCTCTTTTATCGAATGTAATTTCACTTTCTTTCGTTACAGAAAGCTTCGTTTTATGATCATTATCTCTGACGTTAGCTGGAAACAATTCAAAGATTTTAAAATACGAGAAGGCACTCGTACGCTTTGATCCATAAACGGACCCCTTCATACTAGAGTCACTTTTATTCCCGGATTGTTGTTTGTATGAAGTTAATCTAGTTCGCTTTCTGACAAAAGATGGAGGAGTTAAAGCACCTGATTGTACTGAAAAGACAGAACTGTATATGATGAATGGCTTATGGGGGTACCCCTGTTGTTTTTAAAAGTACCATATTCTCCTTTTTCTATTTTATTAGGATCATTATGATCCGAGTCTTTTGTGTCCCCTTTCTCCCTTCGCTTCTTCCTACGGCTATGGAAGAGCTAAAAGTATAAATATGAATAAATATTGCCAACATAGAAGCTTACGGAAGCAATATTAAGAGACTGGACGCTACCATTTGATTGCCGCCTGCTTCTTCTAGTGACTTCTTTCTCTGATTGAGCGCCCTGTACAGAAAACAAAGTTAGTATCGGCCTGATGAACCACTTATGCCTCATCATCATCGTATTCATAACTGCTCGATGAACTATCATCGGAAGAACTAGAACTAGAGCTAGATGAGCTACTAGTATCGTTGATGTCATGTTCGTGCTCAGCAGCGGTCTGGAGGATGCTGAATATGAACAAACCTAGTAAAAAATAGTACCTGCGGCTGATTCAACAATTCTTCTCTCGTTTTAAACTCTAACATTAGTATCGAAATCGGACATAGTAAACCACATATTACTTTGAGATTCGAATGGCTGGAGAAGAAGTAACTCATAAAATACAATTTTCAAATTTATACCTTCTTATACGTAAACCTCCATGCCATAAATCAGCCAACAGAATTTGACAACTTAATCATAAAATAGAAAACTGAATGGAAAGCTTTAACTTACCAAGGATGCGCTAGAAACTGTTTATTGTTCACCATTACAGCCAATGATAAACATGTTTGGCATCCCCAGTTCGAAAGTTCATATGTTAACAACTGAAAAAAGTAAGTTCCCTATGAACAATATTCGTCCAATCTACCTGTAACGTTTGAGCATCGTCTTGTTGATAGCAATGTTCCAAAAGTTCCAGTGAAAGCACTCGGAATTCTCTGAAACCGCAAGCGTGAGCAAATAGACCTAAGGTAACTTACTCAGCATAAGTTTTCAGCTCTTCACAAATCTCTACTTCTAAATAATCTTCTGCCGCTTCGGTGGCCATACTTTTATATAATCTACACGCTATTAAAGCCTATGCGAGGATAAAAAGAACATAAACGAGATCATTGGCATACCTTTGCTAAAGCTTCTTCTCCGTGTTGCCACATGCACATAGCCATTTCTTGTCTTTTAGTAAGCACAGCCCAAATGAGAAGTTCACTGAATGGATAGCGAAATTCGAACTCTTTTGCGCAACTTCCATCAGAACCAGTTGACGAAAAATCTATCAAAGATATTAGGAAAAGTCCAGTGCCAGAAGGATATACCTTCATCTATTTCACTACAGCATTCCTTGGAATCTCCCAGTTTACCCGATCGAAGAGCAATAGGATTAATAGGATTCTGAAACAATGTATCTAACGAATGTATCATGATAAAAAAACTATACATCGCGACGAAAAGCAGTCCTCCACAAAATATGATTACTCAAAGCTCTACTTCCACTTGGTGCTGTGACCATAGTCTCACTTATTCCTAATGGCTCTCCGAAAGATGATCCGAACGGCCCTTGATCAGTAGACTGTCGCGAAATAGCATCAGAACCGCCTCTTGTTCTGTCACTTTTTGTTATCAATTTGCCAAGTTTGCTACGCGACTAAAATTAATGTTTTAAACCAAAACTTGAATTAAAAAATTACTCGGTATTTCTTCATGAATTTTGAGTACTTGTGGCGAAACTCCTGTGTTGTGTAGGTCGACTTATAAGCATTTCCCATCAGCTTCTCCAGAACCATTCCAATATGCGTTAGCCTATATTACGAGAGTATGCAACATTAAATGAAAAAAATAGTTGTACTTATAACGATATCCCTGTTTAATTTTCACAACATCTCTGACTATATAGTAGAGAGTGTTAGGCGGGCCTTTGTCCTAAAGCTTGATTAGAACACTTATGGGTTGTATATAAACTCACAGTATTGTACAAGTCTTCTAAACGGCCAATTGTTAAAAACTTCTGCATACTAACTCCATTTTGAAGAAGAACTCGAACAAAATCAACCCTGTCATGTATTAAAGCTTCCATCATAGCATTGAACAACGCTGCTTGAGGCCATTCCTACCATTATAGTTCATTAATAAACCATCAAGATAGAAAAAAACCTGTCCACCCGTGAAGATGTCTGAACGTGCAATATCCACACGATTCCATGCCAATGCGAGAGACAGTTGATCAGCACTAGATAGATTTTGTCCCTAAATACAATGCTGAATAGGATTATATCTAGATGATTCACCTTCAGCAGAGCTGTTAGAATAGCATAATCGACATCATGTTTCCCCTTTTCACCTAATCGGAACACAGTCATCTAAAATTTCAGACGTAACACAAAAACGATACTTCTTTCGATTTACGAGATGTTTCTGTTGAGCACACATGATGAGCTCCGAGATAACACGATCTGCTCCGGTCGATCCACACCCGAACACCTTCTCCACCAAGTTGACAAGCTGAGGTCTAACACCGTCAGGTAAGCTTCTAAAGTTTCTGATTATGAAGAAAAAAACATGAGTTCTAACCCATCATCTTGTACAGTTTGATGTGCGAAAGCCAGAAGGTCAGCTGCCCTTCCACTACCATCACATACCACAACAGGAACACGAGGAACACTTGAAGATTGTTCTTAGTAAAAATATGTTTCAATGGCTAACTTTGTCACATAATCTAGTACTGATCGAATAGTGCAACTTCCTCCTTCTAACACCACACACACGACTGGAACACTACGAGTACCTCCAAAAATTTTTTGTTTTTGAGCAATGTAGTTTTCAAGTCTTTTGCGAAGTATAATCTCAGCTCCATATCTTAAAAATAAAAAAATCGATAGATACTTTCAGAGAAAATGAGAACCTGCCAACTGATCCATTGTCAACTAAAAGGAAATAAGAGTGTCTATTATTTAAAGCTGAAAACCTAGTTTTACTAGAGAAGGGATAATATGGAACACAAGTGTCCTGAAAGTTTCTTCCAAAGTCAAAGTTATAGACCAAGTCTTTACCTCTCCTAAGAGTTCATCTCTTTTCTTTATCAAACCCCAAGGACATATTCCTATACACACTACTTTACTTCTTGAACTAGAACCAGCCCCTGTATTAAGCTATAAGACAATACTTCGCAGTGGAATCTAACCTTCCAGAGCTGCAGCAACATGTCTGACAACTCCAGCATCCACTCCATTAGTGATAATCCAAGCACCGGTTGTCATAGCCGCTTTCAAAAGACCTTTACGGAACACTCGAGAAAGCTTATGTTGTAAACTAAAGTTTTGTCTTATTAAATGCAGTTCATTGAGACTTACTCAAAATTGTTAGTTCCCCCATGAACAGTTATTATCAATTTAGGAGGAGAGATTTGCCAAACATGTTCGAATAATGACATAATGTGAGAAGGATCAGTATCGAACCCTAGTCTCACATATTGAGCCTTAGTGGGATGAGGACCCCCTTAAAATCCAGTCAAATGCTTTTGTAGGTTTTTTCTTACCTTGGAACTCAATTGTTCCGAACGCATTAGTAGCCAAAGAAATAGTGTGCTTTTTTAGACTCCATCGCTCATTAGGAGAAACTTTGATCCGACTTTTCTGTAAAAAAAACAAGAATGATCAAAATGAACGACACAGTCTACCCCAACATTGATCTTGATACCATCGCTTTGATTGTCATCATCAGTCTCGTTACGTTTTTTCTCTACAAGGGAATAGCCCTATAATCATGTATAACAATAGCGTAAATCAAATAAAAAATACTTGATAGTTCAGAAGAGAACTAGTGAGAGTTGGAATATCTATATGAGCAGAGCGAACACGGCCACATCCGCATCTGAATACTGTTTGAAAGAATATTTAGAATCAGACCTACTTCTCGGGATCTTTGTTTGTGGCAACAAACCGAGCGCATTCTCTTCTACAGAAAGTATCAGTTATCCAGTTTGCCCGATTGAGAGACTTAAACAATGTTTTACACGGTTTAACTGATGTATGGCTTACTAAGTCGGAATCGGCAAATCTCATCTGATTGAAGAGAGGAGTTGGTTGTAGTTGAGCACCACTAGTGTCAGGATAAATATCACTCAACTTCCGAACTCCGAACTAAAACATTAAGATCAGCACAGAATTCAAGACATGAGTTGAATTTCATAAACTTAAATGGATGAGCTAACAATGAATTACAGTTTTAAAAGAAAATATGATTTACATAAAATACTGAATCGAGATACTTTTACCGGCTGACCCATTGCGGCCACGTTTTATCCTTGAAGCATCTTAAGCGACAACTTATTAAAAAAGGCACTAATGACGCAACTACACGAAATTACCAAAACCCAAAAGTTAAATATAAAAGAGGTGGTCATTTCCAAGAGAAAAAGAATAAACCTCCCAACCAAATAATAACACACAGCAAACCACTGCAATAGAGGTTTCAGTGTAGTCGATAAAACAAAGGTGAACGAAGTGTATAAAATGTCTGATCGTTATCGCTCGACGAGATTTTCTTAACCTGACCGAAGTAGTTAATATGAAAAAACAAGAAAAAGCAAGTTCAAAGATGCTTCTAAATAGTTTAAAATCAGAAAACTGACTAGTAGGCATTCAAAAAATGGATATTGAAACAGAAAAGTGGTCACTTACTTTTGGCATTACTGACACCTTTATAGAAAGAGAAGCCAAACCGTCTAGACAATAGGCGGAAAAGCTATTTTTCTTATAATGACTCAGTAGGGAAGAACGGAAGACGATAATCACGCATAACAAAGATTAAAAGGAAAGAGAAAGAGCAAACATAGTTTATGTATAGATGATGTGAGAAATTAAGAAAGATAGACTAAAGCGAAACTAAAGAACTGAGAAGTAAAAATAAAAACTGACTCACGTTTTCCTCATTATCCTTATACTCAGTCACGGCCAGCATATCTCGCCAATCGGTGGTATGAACATTAGGAGGAGGAATTGCATATCCAAGCAAGCCACGGCCTTTTCTAGACCAAAAGCCTCCTGTGAGAGATCCTGCAAATATAAAATATGAATAGAAAATTTAAAAAATTAAAATTCACCCAGAGACCTACGAAAGCTCCGTCTCCGCATTATAAAACTAGAAATGCTACATTGAGTAATCTACTACCAAAACATTGGATAAACGATTATACGTACAAAACAGAACCAACACAAGTTCAGTGAGTATTTTTCAGCGTTAATCTCCTATTCATAAAAACTAATTACATACCACTTCTCCTTCTTCTGTGCCTCCGCCTCTGCTTTTTTGTTTCCTTTTCCGCGAACACATCATCGTTTTCTAATGGGTGGCTCGGAGAGTCGTTTCCAGGTAATGATCTCAGCTAAGAACATCGAAGGTAATTTACACAAAACAATCTTCTAACCGATATATTTTCTTGATAAATGGAATTATCATAATTTGTTGACAGTTGTATTGTTGGCAACAACTTTGCTCTCTCCTCTCTATCTGTCACAACGGGTTTCCGTGGCATACTATTTTCTAGCTTTAAATCATGGCCAGATGACTCAAAATATGAAAGCCTCAATATGATAAAAAAAAATTAATCTTACCGTTCCAGCTGATTCCTGATTGCCAGAGTCTGCCGCAAAACAGACAACTGCAGAACGGTTCTTAAGAAAATAATGTTAAATACTAGGCGAGAGTGAATGACAAGCAAAACAACAATGAAACATCTTTTGACATTTGATAAAAAATAGCAAAAGCTGAAGCAGCAGGGCACAAAGTGAACACGATGAACAAATATTTTCAAAAGGCAAATAGTTGACAAGAGAAATCTTATCCTTGGGGAGTGGTAATCAATATCACGTCCATCATACACTACAGCTCTCAAAACAATGCCTAGTGATTGACCTGATAACATGTAAGCACATGAAACTTTGTAAACCATTTACGGAAGGAACATGATCAAAGCTTTTCGATTAGACAAACACAGCGATGTACTTTTGTCATAAAACCAAATCTACATATGCTGAGACTAGCTAAAGATCAATTACTACTAAGTTTCTGTTAACTTGTGGGATTTAATTAACCCCTATTTTTAAAAGAATTTAGCTGAAGCTCAAAGCATAGAGTTAGAGATGTTAATTAAGGACCAGAAGATTGGACAAAAGCTAAATTTGAATAGTTTTTTCCCCCTATTATTGTAATAAGGTCACGACCATTCGTAAACAGAGTGCACAGCTGTTAAACTCTAACCTTCATATAGCTGAAAGAGTTGACCGGATTTGCCATTTGATACCATACGTTAGTACTTTAATAAGAAGGCAAGTTGTCTGACTTTCTGCAATGGTATATTATCTGATTAATCTGAAGAGAACGTGTTTGTAAGTACTTACCTTCCTTTTTTCCAGATAGATTTGGATCGAAGCTCTATAGAATTTTGCTGGTCTTCTGAAGAAACATCTAGATTATTCATTGAATTCGGCAAAGAACCTTTGAAAACGCTGTAAAAACGATCAGAATCAGAGATATCGAACGAATTGTGAGTTTTGTATTAATAAAAATACACAAAATAGAAAAATATGTGTCTTCTTAAGATTCTGAAATTGGAGAGTTATTCTATTTGAGCTATGAAAAAATAGAATGAACACGACCGGATGCGAATATTTTCGAAAATGAAATGAAATTGACGTTACTTGAAAATGCGAGAAGCGCGCGATAATTATTCTAATTTTATTCAAAATTTGATTAAACAATCCAAAACACGTTCGCATCTTTAGATGGATTAGCGTGAAAATCCAAATTAGTTTTTGATGTTTAATTTAATTTTGAAAAATTGTAGATAAAACATCGAGTTTTTCTTGAAATATTAAGGGCATTTAAGATTTTACCTTTGATTGAAGAAACAATTCCCAATCGAGCTGAGAAAACGAAGAGAAAAGTAAAAAAAACAAATTTTTTCCGTGATTATGTTAAATTTTTTGTTGCTACAACCGAAGTGGTCAGAATACCTGGTCACTTTGAAATTTATGCGTTGATTATTCGCAAAACTGGTTTTAAGCAGCATATTGGAAATTAGGGCAGTACGGTCTTCGGTAAAGGACAAAATAATTTTTATCAGGTCATAGATATTTGAAGAATTTATGAATTTCAAGATGAAAAATCTTACTATTTTTGTTTGTAGGAGTAAGATTAAGACAGAAACTCTAGACGCGCCGTTCGAATAAGACTATGAGAGGTTGTTGTGAGTTGAGAAGTAGGGAGCGAGAGAGCGAGAACTTTCCAAAATAGGATATAAGACAAGTTATAGTTAAAATGATTATAATAACATATCTTGTAGAAGAAATAACTTTTTGGAAATCAATCTCTTCGAAATGATTATATGATCATTCAGTGAGATGATTTGACAGACAGCCAGACATATAATTCGGGCAAATGTACATGCCAGAGATGAAAGTTGATTAGATAGGAAAAACATTTCCGAAGTCTCATATAAGATTGATGAATTGAGATGAAGAAACATTAGGTAACTCAGTTGGAGGAATTGTAATGAAAATAAAAAGTTAGCACACCAACTAGATTCTTCGAAGAAAAAAAGAAGCGAAACAGACCTACTGAATGCAAACATTGAATTTTTAAAAGCCTCTATATGTGGCAGAAGTTTTCTTCAACCAATATACAATCTTTCCTGTCGGGGTTTGTTTGACAATCATTTTATGAATTTTCATTTTAAATACAAATTCTCACTTAGAAATCAGAAATTTAAAGGAATGAAGTTTGAAAAATGGCAAAACCTGTTGTTTAGATTTTATGATTGAAGCTTATCCAAGTTTGATGGTTGTTCATGTACTATCCACCAAATGGGATATTGTTGAGATTTCAGTAGGTCTTCGGCTTCCTTCACAAGAATCGGAATATCTTATACTAAACTAAAATATGGAAATTTGTACACCCACAAAACTCGCTGACTCACAGGCAGATAATCCGACTTAACCGTTCTCATTTATATGAGTTCATAACTTGTCAAGAGAGAATAAAAAGGAAACTTTCTCTTGTTAGTAAGCGTTATTACATATAAGAACATATTCTTCAAAACAATTTATTGAATAAGTTTGGTATTTTAATCAATTCCTCAGTTTGTTATCAGCTGTTAGAACACAAAATTATAAATACAACTATGCTACTGACTAGCAAGTGCTTTCCTTTCAAAAAAAACTTTGTTCTTGACACTTGTTGAATCGAACCTTTTTCTGATGACGTCACTCACCCGCGTGTTTAAAAGATTATATTTTGAATAGAGTGGGATAACTATAAAAATGATATTGTTTGGAATATAGTTTTTCTTTTTAATTAGTATGAATCAATTAGCTTTTAACTCTATTTTCATGTCTCATGTAATCATATTATTCGTCATTTTGGTACAAAAAGATGATAACATCTACAGATTTGTTATCTTATACTTTTCCCTTTAATGTAATTGTCCAGTTCTTTTTTGATTGTTAACATCATAAGGTTATTTCCGTCCAATTAAAGTTTTGAACTTCTAAAGTACTGTGAGATTTGCATTTTGATTCTAGCTGACGCGAAGAGCGGTTGTTCCTCATTGATACTCAACTCCCATGTCTTATTAATATCCTCTCGCCCCCCACTAAAAACGATTTTTTTTAGTAAAAATAGATTTCTACACTTTTTCTTTCATTCACTCGTCTTATCTTAAACCTTTTCTAAGAAGATTTTAAATTATCAGTTTTAAAAAAAATGAAAACAATTATTTGACACTCAGATTAACAATTCATGAATGCTTTAATGATGAAAGAGAGAGGTGAGACGAATGAAATACATCAGTAAAACTAGCAGAAAACCGCTTCTTCATCACACCCCAATCTAGATCCGATAAGTATCAAATGCAAATAGCAAAGTAAACGATTGACCAAGTGAAAAGATTTTGTGATGGAAAACTAAGAAATGTTTCCATCTTCCTCATTTTCCTCACTTCCCTCTTCTCTTCTCTAACACTATCTTTGCGCCAATTTCTCTCATAATCACCTCAATTTTGATCTCTCGTCCTTTTCTCTCAACCCTATGGGTATCCTCTGATTTTTTTTCAATTTTCTGCTGTAATCACTCTTTAGCTCCTATCAAACAACAAACTTGTACTTCATCTTTTTTTCTTTCCATTCTCATTAACTTATACGAAATAGTTTTCTCTTTTCCACACCAGAGGATAGTCAACGTCGACAAATCCTACATGTCATCAGATTGTTATCGTTTTTGCAAACGACTAAAACCTCTCAACCCCTCGCCCCACCAGAAAAAAATGTGTTTCTTTCTGTCTTTTCATCAACTGTTTAGCATTTTGTAGAAATCTTTATTAGGCAAAACATAAAAATGATTATTCTTTCAAATGGTTTACAAGGTATGATGAAATCCGGAAGGAATACATGATAAGATGCATAAAATATCAATGGCTCGTAGTACACTTTTGTCTAATTTGTGAAAGCTCGCTCACTTTCTTTGAATCAAACATTCTTTTGTGTTGCTGGAATTCAATCACGTCTATTATAACCTTTCACTCCAACGCTTCCTCCCTTTTCTCTCTCTCTCTCTCTCTCTCTCTCTCTCTCTCTCTCTCTCTCTCTCTC